TTTTTTTTTTTTTGGTACCAAGGATTGAACTCAGGGCCACTGGACTGAGCTACATACCCAGCCCAATTTTGTATTTTATTTAGAGACAGGGTCTCATTGAGTTGTTTAGCATATCGCTTTTGCCGAGTCTGGCTCTGAAATCTCAATCATCCTGCCTCAGCCACTGGGATTATAAGTGTGTGCCAACTGCACCCAGCAAACTTAGTTATATTTAACAGTGTACCAGAAATGCATACTTGAAGATTCTCCTTGGGATTCAGATAACAGTCATCCTTATATCTACCAACTACAAAATGAGTCCCCCATAAAGAAAGCCATTAGCATTCCAAAATATCCTTAGTTTTAACCAAATGAAAAATAACTGAACTATTTTCCCATGTCTATCCATTGTTGGGAACCTTAAGAATACGTTTAGAGTAATTTCATGTATGGCAGAATCTTAATTTATTTGAAATTGAAACCCACATAAAAATTCTATACTCAATGTTTATTTTCAGTTTAACAGCATTAAAATAACATGAAAATAAAACAGTTGTGTTAGATCTAAAATAACTGTTTAAGTACTCTATCATAAAAAAGATGGACACATATACAAAAAAAACTGTACCAATTTTCCTATGCTCAGAAGTGAAATATGAATTCCTTTTATTGCAATGATTATACATTAGACACATAAAACAGTTTACAAAAAGTCTGAATCATACTTTATATTCTCATTGGTTTATAAACAAGCTTAATGTAAACATACCAAATTCTTTCAGTCCTTAATCTATAAACCCAGGTTAGTTTGTAAAGCCTCTCACTAAGTAAAAAAAAACTAACCATAACTGGACTTGAAGACTTGCATATGGATTGATGTGGAAGATAATGGAGGAGGGATGGTTAAGAATGATGTGAGTGGAGAATGAGCATCAGTGCAAACAGTGGCTGGAGCAGGGTCACCTACATTACACAATTCCAGGAAGTACCATTTGCACTGTGTTTTATAAAATGCATAGTTCAAGAGCTATCATTCACAAGAGAATAATAAATAGGGACCTTAAAATTTTTGCTATGCCATGCTTTCAAACACAGCAATGCTTAATTGAATTGGAAGTCATTATGAAGTCTCCAGAGTTTTAGCTTTTTAAGTGCAAAACTCATATTACATAATTCCTGATAAGTATTATAGAGTGAAATGAAATCAAAGAATCTCATTCTTCTGAATCTATCTACAACAAAAAACAAATAGTTTCAAAGCACAGCAAAAGAAAATTCATAAGCAACAACTTAAGGAAAGGGGCACAACTTCAAGCCAGAATGTTGAGGCAAACAAAAACAAACCAGAAGAGTTTTAGGAAACTTGATACAAGTCAAAATCCTGCCTGTTACTGGTATATAGACAAAATTCTGAGAGTACTTAATAATACCTATTTGAAGAGAAGAAAATGAGGCTGAAAAAAAATTAGTAAATAACTGTACAGTGAACTATCCCCTCCTTCAAAAGAGACAACAAAACATCCAAATTTAGAGGATGTTCTTCTCATGGAAAGATACATGTCCCCTCCCTTACAAAAGGAAATGGAAAAGATTGATAAACTACATTTTTTTTTTGTACTGGGAATTTAACCCAGGGGTACTTAACCACTGAGCCACATCCTCTTTTTTCATTTTATTAGAGATACAGTCTCACTGAGTTGGGCCTCACTTTAGTCCCTTTTTTCATTTTATTAGAGATATGGTCTCACTGAGTTGGGCTCACTAAGTTGCTGAGGCTGGCTTTGAACTTCCAATCCTCCTGCCTCAGCCTCCTATATTCTTAAATATAAGAATAAATATATTCTTATATTTAAGAATATAGTTTATCACCAAACCAGGTGATAAACTATATTCTTAAAAAGAAAAAAAATTCCTTGTAACCAAACTCCAACCAAATAAAAAGTTACTTAAAATTTAAAAACTAAGGAATCAAGCCAATAAAATTGTGCCTGGCAAGCTCTGAATCTACTTAAATCCAGAAGCAAGGCTTTTTAAAAAGTGGGAATTGTGGTTATAAAACAGTAAAAATATTATGGACCTTAATAGTGTAAAAATAATACCAGGGAAAAAATCAGAGAGGTAGGAGGAACAGATGAAAATAAGTATATGAAGATAATTTTCTCATCTTTCAAAGCTAAGTCAATTCTAGGTAAAATGGAAACTACGTTTTTTTAAAAATATTTTTAGTTGTAGATGAATACAATACCTTTATTTTATTTATTTATTTTTATGTTGTGCTAAGGATCAAACACAGTGCCCCAAACATGCTAGGCAAGTGCTCTACCTGTGAGCTACAACCCCAGCCCCCTCAGTTTTTTTTAAATGATTGATAATTTCTTACTGTTTTCCATAGCCATTTTCAATACCTCAGACAATACTTTCTAAAGAACAACAAACATTTTTCAAAAGTTCCAAAATCACTCTCTTGTTTCACAACACTTTTTTTTCTTCAATTAAACTCAAGTAAGATTAACTATAATTCTTCTTACTATTGGTGTTATGGTTTAGATATAGGTATTTCACAAAATATCATGTGTGAGACAATGCAAGAAAGTTTAAAAGTAAAATGATTGGGTTATGACAGCCTTCAACCAAAGAGTGAATTAACTGTATTAAAATGTAGTTTATCAATCTTTTCCATTTCCTAAGAGTGATCGGGATTAACTGAGTGGTAAATGAAAGCAGGTAGGGTATGGGTGGAGTAGGTGGGTTACTGGGGTTTTATATTTTGTCATGGAGAGGGGAGAGAGCTCTCAGCAGCAAAAAAAGTTGACTAAAACAATAGGGTGGTACTCAATATGATATATCCATTAATCCACTCAATCTTCTATCTGTACTTATGGGTGCAGAGATAACTAGTGTGATAGCCATCTAACAATTACTGAGTGATGCGACTGGGTAACTTCTTATGAATTTTTCTTTATACTTTGCAGTGCTGTTTGGATTATTTATAATACACACGCACATTCTATTTTTCTAAAAAAAAATGTACTGAGTAAGTTCTACTGAAGGTTTTTCATGCACTCAGGAAAACACTTTAACATTTCAGAGAGAAAAGTTTTTTGCTTGCCATCGCCTAGTGAATCTGTATATAACATTAATTGAGGAATGTTATGCTAAGAAAAGTGGGGCACCAGAAATCCTATGGTTCCAATATTTACCAACTTTTTAAGCAACAATCAAAGGATTCTCAAAAAATTTATTTTCTTAAAAGAATGTGGTCTTTTTGATCTGTGAACAGCCACCAAGTCCCAGAGCCATAATTACTACTATAGAATATTTCACTTATCCATTGTTGTATTTGGGTTTCAATGGAATAGAAATCATAACATCAAAACATTGTTTTAATAATAGTCTACCTTCTATTCTAACTTTAATAAGGAACTACTCACAAATCTCATGAAATGAAAGGAATATGCCCAAAGTAAGAAAAAAAAAGTTCATCTAAGTAAAACACATAGCTGTGAATCAAAATTTAATAAATTTTGAGTACAAATTATCTACTATATTAAAGTAAAACACATACCAACAGGGGTGCTTTCATTGTCTTAACAAACAGATGAATGTTCAGTGTCGTCAATGATTGTTCCATTCGTGTTCTTCTACATTGCTGTGTCAAGTCTGAGACTAGATTACAATGAAAAAAGTAGAGATGTGCAAGTTCTATATTCTCAGAGCTGCAAATTAAAAATTAGGAACATTCACTTAATGAAGTTCAATGTTTGATCCTATCAACAAAAAAGATATGACAACAAATTTCTTCAAGTCTCATACTTTTGAGTTACTGACTCAGTAGAAGCCTAAATGAGTATAACATTAAAATAAAATAAAATGAACTTGGTCAAAAAAAAAGAAGAAAAGTATATTAAATAAATTAATCTTAATGTCTGAATGAACCACATGAGTTGTATAGGCAATTTTCTCCCTGAGTTCTTTCACAAGGTGGCTCTACTTTCTAGACAGGCCTACATAATTTTGTTTCAATAAAAGGCTGGCCCCTTGTGGACAATGAGATTATTTTCAAATATTAATACTTTACTAGAACTATATTAAATGAAGCTTTTTAACACAAATTTTCTAGGTATAATTTAAATCCAAAGTGTTTGGAATAAACTTTAGCCAAAACATGCCTTCAAATAGAAACCACGTGAGAGTTGGTAGGCATTTGTGAGTTTACACCTGAAATATTACAAAACTTGGCAATGGCTTATAATTTGAGTTTTGGTATTCCTTTCAGTATGAGAATTTAAAAAGATACTTATAGTGGTGATAAGGCCTGCCAAAATTAAAATAGCATTTTAAAAATCTCCATATGGCATTAGTAGGGTTTGGCAAAATACTACAAAATCTTATTTTTAAAATGTTATTTTAATTCTTGAGACATGCTTAAACTGAGTGTTCAAGGTTCACTAATTTCAAATTTAATTACTAAGTAATTTATAATAGAATCAATGATTAGAGAAGCAACACTTAAAGACTTAGTTAATGCCTACTGTGTGTTTGACCTATGCTAAACACTAAAGTTAAAGATTAATAAGATAATTCAAATCCTCAAACTGATTAAACCAAAGGAAACAATTAAGTAAAATAATCAAAATGTACTTTATAAGTATTATAATATACAAAATGCAGAACAGAACAAAGAAATATTTCATTCTGCCTCAAGTTGGGAAGAAGAAGAAAGGAAGATCATAGCACTTAGAAAGGGAGAGAATGGCTTCTTCAAGAAAACAGATCATCTGGACATTTCAAATACAAGGAAACATATAGGTAAAGCTCAATAACCTCTTGAATAGTCACATAATGGGGGAAGGGAAGTGTTAAGTACAGAAGTTAAGGTTGGGTTCATATCTTTACCTCTGAACAACAAAATCTTGGAAAGTTATTTAATCGGGGATTATTTGATTTCAGATAACAGAAACCAAAAAGGAGAGAACTTTTTGGAAGTTTAAAGGGTTATTCCACAAAATACAAAACAAAAAGGACTTAAAACCAGCATGATACAGTGATGCAGCCACATCAATATTTATAGTAGCACAATTCAAAAATAGGTAAGCTATGGAGCCAACCTGGTACCCTTCAACAGATGAATGGATAAAGAAATTATGATATACATATACAATGAAATATTACTCAGCCATAAAGAAGAGTGACTTTATGACATTTACTAGTAAATGGGTGCATCTGGAGACTATCAAACTAAGAGAAATAAGCCAATCCCAAAAAAATCAAAGGTCAAGTGTTTTCAATGATATGTGGAAGCTAAACCACAATAAAGAAGAGGAGGGGAAGTAAAGCAATAGATTAGACAAAGGGGAATAAGGGGAAGGGAGTGGGGATAGGAATAGGAAAAACAGTGGAATGAATCTGACATAATTTTCCTATGTACATATATGAATACACCAAAGTGAATCCCACCATCATGTATATCCACAAGAATGGGGTCCTAATTAGAATTAGATATAAACTATGCATGTATCACTTTATCAAAATGGATTATGCTGTCATGTATAACTAAAAATAATCAATTAAATTTTAAAATTAAAATTTAAAAAATTTAAAATGAGTGGATCTAAAAATGGTAGAGAAAAATATAAAACCCAAGTACTAAGAGTTCAGGGACCTTCATTTTGCCAATAACACTTCAGCTCCCAACTCACTTTGCGAAGACACCCCTCAGTTTTCCTATAATTGAGCAAAACATTCCTGTGTAGGATTATTACCATGTATACTTCCATGTTCCTGAGAGAGGGGATCTCATTTGTTCAGGCAAGCCAGTGGACTGGATGCTGCTAGATCAGCCCTCCCATCACCTTGTTTAGGTGACTGTGATGTGTATAGATGGGGTAGCGGCAATACCCTTTTTGGTCTATTCTTAAGGAAGCAATGGCAAGGTAGCAGAAAGTACTGGTGACTCTATGGCATGCTATCTTTTTACTGTCCATCTATATACCTTTAACTTGTCTTTCAAACACATTCAGGTCCAACATGATACAGCAATATACCAGTCTTAAGCACTTTTTTAGCCCAGAAACTGGAATAATGACTGCCTAGCACAAAGAAGGCATTCAATAACTATTTTTTGAATAAAAGAAAAAACAAATGTAAAAAAGAATGCATCCACTGCACCCTCATTAGGAGAAAACTCAGTCATAGTCAACTACTTCATCCAGAAATGATGTCACAGGTTCACTATACTTAGAATCCACAGTCCTTCCCTGTCACATCACCTACAGGTATGTTACCTCAACATCTTGTTATTCATGAAGAAATAATAATTCAAACATCCCCAACAGATCCTATACCCAAAAATAAATGAAAACAGGATGATGGTATTTTCAATTTTAAAAATGGGGAAAATCAAAACACCTTCTACAAGGAAGGGAAAGAATATGAATCTCGCTGAACAAGATGTGTAAGGTAAATAACAGAACCCGTACCTTGCCAATGAATAACCACCATGTTACTGTTTTTATAATTATACATTTCCTGAAAAATTAGAAGCTGGTAACACAGACTAACCCTCAGAGAAACTGTGGGGGCTAGCATGAATCACCATAGGAATCGGAATATCAAGCCTTCCCCCATTCCAGGATGGGAAAACTGGCAGTCTACACTGGGTGTAGCAAAGTGGCTGGCAGAACTACTGCTTACTGTGTTATCTTGCTCTTCAGTGACTACTTATAGTGTGGCCTTGTGGTACTGTCTGTCAGTATAATTATCAAGGTGTTAGAAAGGTAATTCTCATACAAACAAAGTATGCATCAGTTTTAAGTCATTAAAACAGGAAACAGAATCACAGTTCAGCAAGGAGAGACTAATGGGAAAAGGAATACAGGTTTATGTAATAACAGAGCAATAAAAGCACAATTTCTTTATAGGAACTTTCTTCTTCACCAACTTTCTTTCCTCCCTTCCCCCACCAATCATTTTACTCTATCAGTTTTCTATGCACTAACCACTAAATTTACAGTTATAAAATGGGCTTTAAACAATTGTGTGTATCAAACAGCTACAATTTTCTGAGAGGTCAGCAAAGGGGCTCATTAAAACTCACATGGCATTAAAAGGTCCCTCACCATTTTGCCTTACTTTAGATTAATTTTCCTGAAGAGCATTTTAAAGCCAACTTAGTCTTTAAAATGCACTGGTTATTACTTGTATTCTTAAGTAATAAAGGAAAGAAAAACTTTAACCCTAGAATGCCCAACCAAAAACACTGAAAAGTTGGCTTCTATCTAGAATTGTAAGCTAGAAACTAGACAAAGATAAAAATTCAGACATCTGTTGAAAATCTGTACTTAAATACATTTAGGATTGTCATAACAAAGTAAGCTGCTATTTTGCCCCCCATCTGATCACTGGGGGAGATCTGTTCCTAAAGTACTCTACTTGGCCATGGATCCTATAAGATGCCATCTAGTGCCTTATTTATACTGTTCTTGATCACCTTAGTCTAACATTACTTCTGTATAACTTCACACTGTGGTACAGCAAATGAAACTAATGAAGGGTGTTTCAAGTTTCACTTATCTGTTCACATCTGCTTATGATTCCTTGAGATAAACCCATGCTACGAGCACATGATGGAAATGCTGGCTAATAAATGAAATAAATGAATAAACAACAAATAACAAAATTGTTGAAATATATCTCTTATACATACCCAATACTTTCCAAAACGGCCATTTCTGTAGTTAAGACAAATTGATATGTGGTCCCATACACAAAGGCAGCTTCCATGACGGCTCTGTGCTCTGAAGAGGAGGAAGAGAGTTGGGAGGGAGAAGGAGTAAATGTGACTCTGTAAACCTCTGTTCTGAACATTACCCCATACTCTTCTATTTCCTATTATATTTAAAGAAAGGTTTTTGCAGAATTCCAGTTAGGAAAATGTAAGCAGGCAAAGAAGTTATAAAAAGTCTATTCTATGATTAACAAAATCATGTTATCTCTCTCTCACACACACACACACACAAACACACACACAAACACACACACACACACACACACACATATATAAATGTACCAAAGGGAATTTCACCTTTATGTATATGTAGAAATTACCCATCAAAAATAAATAAAGGCATGAAAGGAAGATCAGTAGAATAGAGGAGGGAGAATAGGGGAACAGGGAATGAAATCAAATTCCTTACATATATGATTTTGTCAAAATGAACCCAAATACTATGTATAATTACAATTATCTAATGAAAGCATATTCTACTCAAGGTAAAAGAAGAATTAAGAGTAAGTGGAAAATGAGTTATACTTCAGAGTGTAACAAATTTGTCATATTTCTCCCTAATAGGAAGACAACAGGAATCCACAATTTTCATGTTATATTTTATATATGTATTTGTCTACTATTTTTTAGCAAACACACTATTGAAGAGACAACTCTATGAAGCATATTAAGAAAAACAACCATTACCCAAACCTGTATTCCATTTCTACTCCCCAAGAGACATCCATTTTCAATTCTTTCACTATTTCTTTTGTTATTTATCTTCAAGTCTCTAAATGCATTCTACACTCTTATTTTCTAATACATATACATCCTCACATAAAATATACACAAATAGGTAGACAGACATCAAACTTTACTATTACTTATTGACTTCCCACTACAGAAGATAATAAATTAGATCTCTTTTCTGAAACCCATACTTCCCATCTGTACATACTTCCCATCCCCTCAACCCTTCTAATATAGTTCTAATTTTTTAAGAGAGAGAGAGAGAGAATTTTTTAATATTTATTTTTCATTTTTCAGCTGACACAACATCTTTATTTTATTTGTATGTGGTGCTGAGGATCGAACCTAGCGTCCCGCACATGCCAGGTGAGCGTGCTACCGCTTGAGCCACATCCCCAGCCCCAATATAGTTCTAATTTTTATTAGATCAATATTCAGACTTGTGTTGTTATGACTAAGTATTATTTACAGATGAATCACACAGGACAGAATGACCATCTTTTTCCTTTTTGAACAACTTTAATTTTAACTACCTTTATACAATTTTTTATTTAAATTTCTTCCTAAACTCTTCCATAATTATCTATCCTTCTCAAGTCTTCAAATGTATCAGGTATACTATCAACTCCATTATCTTAAAGACATTTCTAAAGAGCCTTCTGATTTGCTCCACTATGGAGTATTGCTAGTTGGCCTGCTAGATGACTGTCTTTCTGGGAATTCATTCTTTCAATTCTTCCCTCTCCTCCCCTCCCCTCTCACCCACCCCTCCCTACCTTGTGTTGGGTCCTTTGCTCTGCTATTCATAACTTTTTTATTATTATACCTTATTCCAACTCTCTAGCACCTTCCTGTGAGAGGATATATAAAATACACATTTTTGTCAACCTGCATTTCTGAAAGCATCTTGATTATACTTTCACAACTAACTACAGTTGGCTGGATGTAGAACTCTCAGGTTATTTCTCCTGAGAATCTTAAAAATGTTGTTCCATTTTCTTCCATTTCCAACACTACAAACAAGAGTTTCTATGCCATTTCAATTCCGGATCCTTTAATTGCAAACTCGTTTTTTCCCCCCCCTCTGGAAGACTTTAGAATAGTTCCCCACTACTCTTAATTTCTGTAATTTCAAAATGAGATACCTTGAAGTGTCTCTGTTGTCATCCCTTGTGCTAAGACTTGAAAGCCCTTCCAACTTAAAAGCTCAAACAATTCAGTTCTGGGAAATTTTCTTGAAGCATTTCCTTGATGATTCCCCCCTTTTTGTATATTGTTTTCCCATTTCTCCTCATTATCATTCCCAAGCAGTTATATTCTCCTTTCACACTTAATCTCCTAGTACTTGCAACAGATTATTCCACTGACCCCACTCGCTACCTTGTGAGCATCATCTACCACCCAGCCAGGATCACTCCCCCTCATTCATGAGGAATTGAGCTTCTGTCATACTGTCATGCTCTCCTGTACTACTACTGTCATAATCCTTGGTGCAAACCACATAGATGATCATTCCAAAATCCAAGCCTCTCAGTTCTTGACCTTCTAAAAAAATTTTTTTTAAATACATGACAGTAGAACCCAGTTTGACATATCATACATACATAGAGTATAACTTCCCATTCTTATGCTTGTATATAACGTGGAGTTGCACTGGCTGTGTATTCATATAAAAACCCAGGAAAGTTACGTCTGATTCATCCTACTGTCTTTCCCTTTCCCAGCCTCCCTCCCTTCCCTCAATTCTCCCTGACCAATCTGATGAACCTCCACTCCTCCCTACCTCCAACATATTGTGAGTCAACATTCTCATATCAGAGAGAACATTCAGACTTTGATTTTTGGGGATTGGCTTATTTCACTTAGCATGATATTCTTCATTTCCATCCATCTACCTGCAAATGCCATTAACTTCTCTCTTCTTCAAGGCTGAGTAATACTCCATTGTATATATGTACCACATTTTCTTTATCCACTCATATGTTGAAGGGCACCTAGGTTGGCTCCATAGCTTAGCTATTGTAAATTCAGCTGCTATGAACATGGATGTGGCCATGTCACTAAAGTATGCTGATTTTCAGTCTTTTTGGTATATACTGAGGAGTGGGATAACTGATTCAAATTGTGGTTCCATTTCAAGTTTTCTAAGAAATCTCCATACTGCTTTCCAAAGTGGTTGCACCAATTTGCAGTCCCACCAGCAATGTATAAGTGTGCCTTTTCCCCTACATCTTCACCAACATTTATTTTTACTTTTATTCTTGATAATTGCCATTCTGACTTCAGTGAGATGAAATCTCATTGTAGTTTTAATTCGTATTTCTCTATTTGCTAGTGATATTCAATACTTTTTCATATTTTGTTGACTGATTGTATTTCTTCTTCTATGAAGTGTCTGTTCAGTTCCTTTGCCCAATTATTGATTGGACTATTTGGGTTTTTGTTGTTGTTAAGTTTTTTGAGTTCTTTATATATCCTGGAGATTAATGCTCTGAGGTGCAAGTGGCAAAGATTTTCACCCATTCTGTAGGCTCTCTTTTCACATTCTTGATTGTTTCCTTTGCTGTGAAGAACCTCTTTAGTTTGATACAATCCCACTTATTTATTCTTGATTTTACTTCTTGCACTTTAGTAGTCTTGTTGAGGAATTTGGTTTCTATGCTGACATGATAAAGAGTTGGGCCCACTTTTTCTTCTAGTAGATGCAGGGTCTCTTGCATAATACTGAGGTCCTTGATCCACTTTGAGTTTTGTGCAGGGTGAGAGAGAGGGGTCTAATATCATTTTATTTCTATGAATTTCCAGTTTACCTAGCACCATTTGTTGAAGAGACTATCTTTTCTCCTATGTATATTTATGGCACCATTGTATAGGAGATATCAGTTCTTGACGCTCTCTATTCTAGCAATCTCTTTTCACCTCTACCTTAACCAATCACTGCTATGGTCTCACTCCAAAGCCTTGTGATTACCCAATGCTGCAACTTCCCCCCATAATCTCAGTGTCTAGCACCCACACAATCACACACTTCCAGGTCACTCTGTCAGGCACACAATTCTAACCTACCAGGACCAGAGATCCAGAGATCCTATCACGTTTCACTTCCACTCTGCTCTTTTCCCCTAATCAAGCTTAAATTTCATGGTCAATTTTTTAATTCCCCTGCTATTTAGGCTAAAACATAATACAGGTTAATCCTAGTACTCTGTATATTCTGCCCCTACATCCATGAAAGTAAAGTTGGCTTGAAGGAAAACAAAACACAGCAAAACCTACTAGGTAATGTTCTCACTTTAAATTACTATTAGTAACCACTATTGCTACCTAGAAACCATTCTTTATTTCCAGGTCTCCTAAATGTCATGTCTTCTTTCCCAAACTGAGATTTTATTTCTACTACAATATGTGGTTTAATACCCATTTCACTGAGAAAAGAGAACCAATTAAAAAAACATGCTCCCAAAACCATATTTATTAACTTGAATTGATGCCCACATTCTGTCTTATCCCTATTATTTGTGCTCCCACCAAAGACCCTGTCTCTCCTTGGTCACCCGATTCCATCCCCTCTTGTCTACTCAAAGACCCTGTCCAGAAATTCTCTCCTCTTTTCCTGCATGATATATTTCCCTCCTTCTACTGGATCTTTCTTGTCAACATAAAGCTTCTTAAAAAATTCTCTTAGGGTTGGGGTTGTGGCTCAGCGGTAGAGCGCTTGCCTTGCACGTGTGAGACCCTGGGTTCGATCCTCAACACCACATAAAAATAAATAAGTGAAATAAAGATATTGTGTCCAACTACAACTAAAAAATAAATATTTAAAAAAATTATCTTAACCCCACATACTCTTCCAGCCTGATTATGTTTTAACAGTACCCCTTACTGATTCCTTCTCACCTCTTCACTGTGTAAATGGTGAAGTGACTCAGGGGTTTGGTTGCGATCTTACTCTCATCTAGCCTCACTCATTTGGTGACCTCTTCTGATCTCACAGCTTTATTTCTCAAATTTATATCCCTAGTCTGTATCCCCAGTTTGTAAACCTAAGGTAAGAACTGCAGTCCAGTAATATCCAGCTGCCCCATTGCTCTCTACTTGCATGGGTATTTCACAAGTCTGATGTTAAAGTGAACTTCAGAACTTCCTCTCCAAACTTTCTAGGCTAGTCTATTCCCATTTTCCCCATCTCAGTTATCAGCATTTCACTTTTTGAGTACTTCAGGTCAAAACCCACAGCCACCCTTGCCTCTGCTATTTCTCACTCCACTCCAACAGGACAACAAATTCAGTTATTTCTACCTCCAAAATATTGCTACAATTCATATTTATTTCCATCTCATTGCTAACAGCCTAGTCCAAGCCCCCCACCATCATCTCTTCTCTGCATTATTCCAATAACTTCCTAATTTTCCCTCTTATTCTACTCTTGCTCCTTCCAATCTATTCCAAATATAGCAGTTATATTAATGCTATTAAAAAAAACAGGGAAGTTTTGCTACATCAGTGCAAGCTCCCTATAGCTCAACACTTTCACTGTTTACAACTAGAAACTCTGGAGAAGACAGAAGATTGTAAAATATTATTTTACACATATATTACATTCAGTGACATGCTATGTAGCCAGTAGGCTTTATGTTTATAAAGACTGAGACTTCAGGGGCTGGGGTTGTGGCTCAGCAGTAGAGCACTTGCCTAGCAAGTACAAGGCCCTGGGTTTGATCCTCAGCACCACATGAAACTAAATAAACAAAATAAAGGTATTATGTCCAACTGTGACTAAAAAATAAATATTAAAAAAAGACTGAGACTTCAAAACTTCAAATAAATGATTTATTTCAGAGCACAATTATTAAAATATCTATAACAACATTTTATATTAACATGGTTAAGTTATAACAACAAATAACAATCCTGAAAGCATAACTTTAATCCAGTCAGTTGTTTATAAAACAACTTTATGAGAAAATTAGATTTGAATGCTCAGGTGATGCTACCAAAAATAGATTTCTAAAAAAATTTAAAAATAATAAGTATTAAATAGAAAACCATTTAGTCAACAATATTTTTTGAGTATTAGAAACTATAATAGCAAGTTCCAGGAGGATTGTAAGGAAATAAAAACAGAACTTCTTTAATATTCTAGGAAATATTTTAATTACTTGAATTAATTTTATCCTCACAATAACACAGAGAGGTAGGCACAATGAGTTTCCCCATCTTGGTGAGTAGGAAACTAAAGTTAAGTCACTTATCCAAGGTCATAATAAAAGTCACTGGTGGCAAGGAGTCTAACCTAGGCAGTCTGGCTCCACAGTTCTTGTTCAGCCACTAGATGATGCTTCCCATTTAAAGAAATACAATAATAAAGATGCTTTAAATTTATTTTAAATACTGAGATTGCATATTGTTTGAAATACTTCAACATACTGACATTAGTCCATAGACCCAGTAAAGATTAAAACAGAAGTTAATAAATACCTGGCGTTCCAATGGCTCTTACATATGAGAATATCATATTTGCTTTTCCTTTCAGAGCATTTTCTATGTTCTGAAGATCTTCCAGTGTGGTTATATATTTCACTTCATTAAAAAGAAGAGCACTAAAATAAATGTAGATGAAATTAGTAGAAAAATCTAACATGTACTAAGTTACATAATACACATTTTTATTAAAGAACCTAAAAAAAGAAATTTAACTTGACAAATAATAAGAAATTAATGATAAAAGCCTAAGCATTTAATAACACAGATTAAAATCAGTCTGTAGGTTATTAGTCTCTGAAAACATCAACCAAGGGTATTGGTAGAAAACGATGTTCATTCTCCATCACAAACACTTCAACAGATTTAAGCAGTAATCACTAATCACCCAAATAATCCTTTACAGATCTCTCAGCCTTGAACACATTTGAGCCCTTCAGACATCAAAACTGTAGACTTCCTTCCAGAGTCTGTAAGGCCTTACATGACCTAGACATTATCTACTTTTTCAACCTCATTTTCTTCTACCATTCCTAACATCTACCACACTCCAGGCACATCTTAGGGATTTGCACACAGAGGTCTGTCTCTTTGCTGAAAATTCCCTTTCCTCTGTCTCATCCATCTGATTACTTAAACATCATTATATCAGAGAGGCCTCCCTGTTAGTTCTGTGTAAGTAAGCTTGTAGCATTTTCCTCTATTTGATTCCTTCATAGTCCTTAATACAATTTATAATTATTTATATATTCATTTACTTGTTTATCCCTATCCATTTACTTGTTTATCATTAAACTGCTGTCCGCTTAAGGCAAGGACCTTGCCTATTTTATCACTATGTTTGTAGTAACTTAGAATAAAATCTAGTACACAGTAAATAATCAATAATCATTTGTTAAATGAACAAAAGAAACAGTAAGGCAGAAATTTACTCTAATTTTTGATTTGAAGAATGGACATCCTATAAATTAAAGATCTTACCCACAAACACATTTAATAAACCAAGGAACCAGGGATAGAATGGAACCCAGGGAGTTCTCTCTCCTGGTCCAGTGATCTTTCCACTTGACCATGATTCTCCCAATTATCTTTTCAATGTATAAATCAAACTGACAGATCATATCTCTTCATCCAAAATTACTCCCTTTAAATTATCTTTTTCTATATAAATTCTCTGTCCCTAACAATTCATGCCCTTAATCCCCCACATATATATAGTGTGTGTAATTTTATTAGGCTTAACTTAAAGGGTTTTGAAATTATTTCCAGGTCTAAACACTTAAATAAGCAAAAGTTCATTGAAATACTTCCAACAAATTAATCAAACATGTCTTCCTCTTATGGAAAACAGCACATCTAACATAGTAGTTCTTAAACTTTTTGGTATCAGATTCCCTTTTTACCCTTAGAAATTACTAAAGTCCTTGAAAATATTTTCAAAAAGGAAGGTATCTTTCAGTAGTTGCCAAAACATAAAACAAAAATTTAAATATATTTATTAATTATTTTTTAAAATAATAATAAACATGGCTGCATGTTAACAAATCACTTTTTTAAAAACCTAAATTTTCCAAAACAGATGAAAAATTTAGTGAAAAGAATGGTATTATTCTACATTTTCTGCAAATCTCTTTAATATAAGACTAAATTTGCTTCTGCTTAATCTGTTGTGATATCACATATCATATGGCCTCTGGCAACTCCATTCATGGGAGAATGAAAGTGAAAAAGGCAAATAATGTCTTAGTATTATAAGGACATTTTGACTTAATAGTCAAAATGAAAGTGCTGCCCTAAATTACACTGGTTTAAATATTTACCTGTTTGTTACAGATTTCTCTCACTTGTTAAAAGAAATTTAAGACACGATTTTCTAAAATTCTGAGGACAGGCTTTTGTTTTAAAAGGTGTATTTAGTGGGGTGTGGTGATGCATACTGTAATCAGCTACTCAGGGGTGTGAGGCAGGAGGATTAAAAATTCAAGGACAGCTTGGGCAATTTAAGGAGACTGTCTCAAAAAATAAAAAGGACTAGAGATGTAGCTAAGTTGTACAGTGTTTGCTCAGCATGCATGAGGAGGCACTGGGTTCGATTTCCAGGACCATGAAAAATAAAAGTTGTAATTACTGAGCAGTATTCACCATGTTAGATATTTTCACATAGTTTCATTTATTGCCTTAACAACATTCTTGAAATAGTGTTTATTCCACACTCACACACAGAAGAAACAGTCTTAGGGACTAAGTAACCTATCCCAGATCATAGTGCTGGTAACTGGTAAAAGTAAAACTCAAATCCAGGTTTTCTGACACTAACACCAGGACTTTCTAATTATTTTATTACCAACCACTTTTGTAAATGGGAAACCAAGTGGGAAGGGTGACAAATAAAGCATAGCAAGGAAGTCACAATGTGCATTACTAATTGCATATCATTTTGGCTAAAGAGCCCATAATTTACCTAAAATTACCCTTTACTTACTTCATCCTTTAGTTACTTCCAAAGTTAGGAGATACCATCTATTGAATTTAATATGATTACCATGTAAATTCTAAGCTTAGAAGTTATTTCACCCATTTATTTTTATTGCTCTAGTAGTACCAATTCATTTGCTTCAAAAATCAAATCTGGAAGTAGAAATTTTCCCAACCCTTTTTTTTAAAAAAAATAAATAAATAAAGATTGGCAACTATAAATTAATAAAAGCCAACATTTGTTGAGGTTCAGTATGCTTGTTGAAGCCCCCTAAAGCCCAAGGTTGTGCTAAAGCAGTGGCTAAGACAAAGGTCAGCTGAAGGCAAGCCAAGCTCAACAAACATTTACTGTGCACTTACCACACATCGGGCATAGCCCTAAGCATTTTTTAAGAAGTAGCAAATTATCAGTTTTTGAGCTGCCCAGCTCTGAAAAGGGAATTGCCTGTTTTCAACACCTTCATGGTGAAGCCGCTCTCGTAAATGCTGATAATATCATGAACTTCCCTTTCCAAGCTCCCTGCAGCAAGGTATGGCTAAATGACCCAGAATCATCTGTCTGAGATTCAAATCAGGAGCAAGTGTTGCAAAGAATCAAGGACAGAGAAGAATGATTTTGAGACGCAATAGCAGTAATAATCAGCTTCAAAGACTGGTGTTAGTAATAGCCCAGAGAAAGCAATTCAAGCTGTGATGTCTAATACTCAGAAGAAATGCAAAAGTTCTCCTCAGATTAGTTGAATCAAAGTTTTGACTCATTTGGAGATTTCATCTATTCACTCCAAATTCTTATGCTTAAGTCTAAGACCCTTAATCTGGGTCTTAGAATTAGAACCAGATTCTAGAGTTTATAACTAAGAACTCCCATCAGTGCACTCTGTCTTAGTTTTCATGGCTAACATCTGAGATTGGTACTATCACAAACTTTTTTTCCCTTCAGTACTGGTGATTAAATCCAGTGCTCCACCACTGAGCTACACTCCCATCTTTTTTTTATTTTGAGACAGAGTTTTACTAAGTTGCTTAGGGCCTCACTAATTTGCTGAGGCTGGCTTCAAATTTTCCATCCTCCTGCCTCAGCCTCATGAGCTGCTGGGATTACAGGCATGTGCTATCACACTCAGGTCAACAACCCTATTTATTTATTTATTTATTTATTTATTTGGTACCAGCAATTGACCCAGGGTGCTTAAACACTGAGCCACATCCCCAACCCTTTTTATATTTTTTATTTAGAAACAGGGTCTTGCTAAGTTGCTTAAGGTCTCACTGAATTTCTGAGGCTGGCTTTGAACTTGCAATCCTTCTGTCTCAGCTTTCCAAGTCACTGGGATTATAGGCATGCACCATCAAGCCTGACTTCATTGACCCTATTTTAAAGATAAGGTCACAGTATTTAGAAAAGTTATCTCGCTTAACGTCCCAAAGCTCATTAAGCAGTCATTATTCATAAGAAAATAATAACCAAAATTAATTATTTTTCCTAATGGCTTCCTAACCTTAGTATATTCTTTAATATGCTGATTTTCGGAATATGAGGCTACCTAAATATCTCAAAGATACATTCCACAAACCTCTATTCCTTCATTCTAGATCCAAGAAGAATTACTGACAGAAATGGATTAAAGAAAAAGTCTCTCTTGGGATTTCCTTGCTGTAATGATGCAGTAATACATCCTGGAGCTGCTCCAATTAGGGAGTGATTCTACCCAAGAAAGGCCATCCCTTTATTTGGCAGGCTCTTCCTGAAACTTTCCTATCACAACCACTAGGTAGACAAGATAGGAGGCCAAAAATTTAAGCCAATGTTAGCAAGAAAATTAACAGTCTATTTGTCCCTACTTTCAGACTAGCAGGCCACTCAATTTTTTAAAGAGAGAATCTTTTTTCAGTATTTTTATTTCTGTGATTAATCCAAATTCTAAAACACTCAATAAAAAGAAAATATTAACAGCTAATTTAACAAACCAAAACCCCAAGAACCGGGGAAAAGGGGTTGCTTTTGTCTAAATTAATTATATTATTCTTGGATAGATTTGGAATTCAAATCCAAGACAAGTAACTTTTTATTATAATTTCCCAGTAAAAAAGTATGTCAGTATAAACAGGAATCCATCTAGCCACATTGTGTGTGAACAAATCTGATACAGATAAAAGAATGAGCAGTAGCTCGACATCCATTAAGAAGAGACCAGCAGAGGAACAGTGCAAGAGTTTTAGGGGAAGACACCTCTAAAAACAGCTTTCCCCAGAGGTAATGTAATCTAACTACTCAATGCCAAGGCTCTGCAATCAGCATTAAAAGAATAATACTACCAGAAACCATGACAGTTGAAAACGATTTCTATAATATTTGAAGTTCATATTATTATGAGTAGCATGCTAACTTAAAAGGAAACTTCCTGTTTTCAAAATATTATCAAGAGAGAATCAAGTACCATATCTTACAGAAAAATTAATAAAATGTTATCGTTTCTTACTAGATATTCTTTCCTATTTGTATCATTTTATGATTTTTAGGATTCAATATTGAGTACGTAAACAAGAATGACCTTTCTTTCCAAATATCCCCACCAGCTGTCACAGCATGAACTCACATGAACTCACTTTGTTTTTCCCCCTCTGAACTGCAAAATGAAATTTC